CCCACCCCGCGACCCGCCCACGACCCACCCGCGACCCACCCCGCGACCCGCCCGCGACCCACCCGCGACCCATCCGCGAACCACTCTGCGACCCACCCGCGACCCACCGTCGACCCACCCCGCGACCCGCCCGCAACCCATCCCGCGACCCGGCACGCGACCCACCCGCGACCCGGTACGCGACCCACCCGCGACCCACCCCGCGACCCTCCCGCGACCCACCCGCGACCCACCCCGCGACCCACCCGCGACCCACCCCGCGACCCACTCACATTGCTTTAACGAGAAATCGGCGCCTGCGGCGGGCTCGTTGTACGTGTCACCCCGCAATCGCGGATAAGAGTGAGAGGGTGGCGGGGACGTATGCAGTCTGCGAGGCTCTGAAGAAGCCCGCCGCAGGCGCCGATTTCTCGTTAAAGCAATGCGGACGGGTCGCGGGGTGGGTCGCGGGTGGGTCGCGGGTGGGTTGCGGGTGGGTCGCGGGAGGGTCGCGTGCCGGGTCGCGGGTGGGTCGCGGGTGGGTCGCGGGTGGGTCGCGGGTGGGTCGCGGGGTGGGTCGCGGGGTGGGTCGCGGGCGGGTCGCGGGCGGGTCGTGGGGTGGGTCGCGGGTGGGTCGCGGGTGGGTCGCGGGGTGGGTCGCGGGGTGGGTCGCGGGCGGGGTCGCGGGGGGGACGCCAAACAACAACAACAACAACAACAACAACAACAACAACAACAACAACAACAACAACAACAACAACAACAACAACAACAACAACAACAACAACAATTATTTTACCCGAACGCGTGGTGTTCTCCCCAGTGCCAGGGTTTTCATACGACACCAGGCAATACCCCCACTTCGTGGGGGGGCATTACAAGCTCTACCAAATATCCAAACGACTCTTCGCGACCACCCAAACCCAGCTTCCCGCCCTATGACGTTGGGACACTTCACTTCGTGGCGTGCGGACGACCGTGGCTACTACACTGGCGTGGGGTACACACCCACAGAACTGGTTCGGCGTGCGCGCGCGAAGAAAAAACGAATGTGTCCCGCATGGTATTATTTGACAGGGATGATGGCCCTGGCAGGTGCGCAACCGTTGTCGCAGAAGTTCGAAAAAGTTGCTCGCAAAAGCCCGTTTGACAGAAATGTTTAAAAAGTGTTGGTTTCCCTACGAATCCGCAAGAGCGCGCGGGATGAGATTTTGACATTTTTTTGTTGAAAAACCATTAGTTTTTTGATGTTTTTATGTTAAAATCGCTCCGAACACTAAGCTTTTGGAAGGATTTCGTCTTGCGCGCGCGAATGTCCACTTTACCTTATTTTTTGCAAGGGATTCTTGAAATTTGATTATATTAGAACAAGAAATGTCATTTTATAGTGTTTTTTGCAAGGGAAAACGGATTACAACAAAACAACCGGATCTGGACCCCATCCACTTTTCTGAAGCTTTCGCGAAAATGATGAAAATGTAGCTGCGGCCTAGGCGCGGCGGGGGGGCCGTGCACCAGGGGTCCCAACAATAATTATTCTTTAGAATTAATAATGTTCAACAACAACAACAACAACAACAACAACAACAACAACAACAACAACAACAACAACAACAACAATCACTTTACCCGAACGCTCAGTGTTCTCACCAGTGCCAGGGTTTTCATGCGACGCCAGCCAATACCCCCACTTTGTGGGGGGGCAGTGCAAGCTCTACCAAATATCCACACGACTCTTCGCCACCACCCACACCCAGCTTCCCGCCCTATGACGTTCGGACACTTCACTTCGTGGCCTGCGGACGACCGTGGCTACTACACTGGCGTGGAGTACACACCCACAGAAGTTGTTAAGCCTACGTTCGTACACCCACAGAAGTTGTTAAGCCTTGTTAACCCACAGAAGTTGTTAAGCCTTCCACAGAACATCTGTTGCATATGATGCATATGGTACATGATACACATGATACACATGATACGTACTCACAAGATAGTTGATCACATCTTTAGGGCAAATTCCTGAGGGATGTGGGAATACACAAGAGAGAGAGGATATGGTTGTCCCGATGGTTGTCTCGATGGTTGTCCCGATGGTTGTCCTGATGGTTGTGGTTGTCCCGATCGTTGTCCCGATGATTGTCCCGATGGTTGTCCTGATGGTTGTGCTTGTCCCGATCGTTTCCCCGGTCCCGATGATTGTGCCGATGGTTGTCCCGATGGTTGTTCCGACGCTAAAGAAGCCCAATGGTTTTTGGAGATTTCGGCGTGCGCGCGCGAAGAAAAAACGAATCTGTCCCGCATGGTATTATTTGACAGGGATGATGGCCCTGGCAGGTGCGCAACCGTTGTCGCAGAAGTTCGAAAAAGTTGCTCGCAAAAGCCCGTTTGACAGAAATGTTTAAAAAGTGTTGGGTTTCCTACGAATCCGCAAGAGCGCGCGGGATGAGATTTTGACATTTTTTTGTTGAAAAACCATTAGTTTTTTGATGTTTTTATGTTGAAATCGCTTCCGAACACTAAGCTTTTGGAAGGATTTCGTCTTGCGCGCGCGAATGTCCACTTTACCTTATTTTTTGCAAGGGATTCTTGAAATTTGATTATATTAGAACAAGAAATGTCATTTTATAGTGTTTTTTGCAAGGGAAAGCGGGGGGGAACAAAACAACCGGATCTTGATCACATCGAATTACCTGAGGCTTCCTCACGAAAATGATGAAAATGTAGCTGCGGCCTAGGCGGCGCAGGGGGGCCGTGCACCAGGGGTCCCAACAATAATTATTCTTTAGAATTAATAATGTTCAACAACAACAGCAACAACAGCAACACCACCACCACCAACAACAACAACAGCACCAACAACAGCACCAACAACAACAGCAACAACAGCAACAATAACAACACCACCAACACCACCACCAACAACAACAACAACACCAACACCACCTTCAACAACAACAACAGCATCACCACCAACAACAACAACAACTGCAACAACAACAACAACAGCAACAGCAGCAGCAACAACAACCACAATGACAACCACAACCACATCCACAACCACAACCACAACAACGACAGCAACAACAACAGTACCAACAACAATAACAACGACAACGACAACAGCAACATCAACAACACCAGCAACAACAGCAACAACAGAAACAACAACAACAACCACAATAACAACAATACTGACATCATCAACAGCAGCAGTATCAGCAACAACAACATCAACAACATTAACTAGCACAACGGGCAAATAAACATATAACTACTTAATATGTGATAATCGAGATTTGTATTGTGGAGTTTTATTTTAATTACG